GCCCTTTGCCATCGGCCCTTGATGCTCACAGTCCCCCTGTGGTACTTGCTGGACCGGACTGGGACTGACTGGACCCTCTGCTGACTGACTGTGGACTCACCGCTATCCTACCGACGTTGTACTGCTGTTGCACTGCGGTTTAGTCCACCACTTGCCTCACCACTTGACCACTTGCCCACTTGCCTACCTTCTAGAAGGTCTACAGCTACGTTTCCGGAACTCACTAAGACTCCTACGCTATAGACCTACAGATCGAACCCCTGCTGTTTATGGACCTACGACAGGCCTACCAACTGCCTACGAATACACAGGTCACAGGTTCAATTCTCGGGGTCTACACAGATACTGTACATGGGTAGGGTGAGGTCTAGGGATCGAACCCTGGGTACTGCATCACCACTGCTAAAAGGTGAAAACCGTTTCACTCCCGCCGGCCTAAATTCGAGGTCCTCCGAGAAAATTTCAGTCCAAGGCAGGACCTTTGCCCCTTTGCTGTCTCTCGTAGGCCCGGACTATATCTGGAGCTGTCTCTAGAAGTTCGGATCTTGTAAACCAGCGGTCGTCTTCGGGTTCCTGATAACTAAAATGAACCTTGTACTGTTTCTGCGGACGACCTCTACCTCCAGTTCTGAAGACGTCTTCAGCCACTATACCATCTATGTCGTATCTTCCATCCATATCCGATGGGATCATCAATCTACGGGATGGAAACTGATCACTTGTTTGACAAGGTAGCAACTTCGATGCGTGGAAAACTGGGTACGTATGGAGGTGTGCTGGTAACTCGATGGTGTAGGACGGTCCATCTTCGCCGCCCTTGACTTCCAGAACAGGCCATGGCCCTCTATATGTGGGCAGTAACTTCTGCGAGATGTTCTCCTCAGGTGCAAACTCTTTAGAACTAACCCAGGCTAAGTCGCCTACTTGAAACTGTGAAGGGCGACGATGTTTGTTCGCTTGTTCTATCATCCTATGCTGGGCTTTCCTGAGGTTTTCTACAACAGTAGTTAGTTCTTTCTCGTGCTGTACAGCAAACTCCCTGGTCCCGGGCGGTAATCTCTGAATCTGATCCCGGTTGAGTCCTTCGAACGGTCTGCGTGGTCGAAAGGACTTGTGCAGTTCGTTGGGAGTGCGGCAGGTGGACAAATGCACGCTGTTGTTATACGCACTAGCTACTTTTGGCAACATCTCGTCCCAGTTAATCTGATCTGGCCTAATGTACATGCGCAGAACTTGCTGTAGGATCTTGTTCATTTGCTCTGTCCGACCGTTAGTCTCTGGATGACGGTCGGACGACATCAACAACTTAGATCCGTGTACTCCCATTAGTTCTTACCAGTTCTGGCTAGTAAAGCGACTATCTCTATCGCTAACTATAGACAGTGGGATTCCATTTTCACTAACCCAACAGTCAAAGAATCTCTGTATGACTAAATCAGTACGTGCCTCTGAAGGCAAAGGAACAAAAACTGCGTACTTACTGAAACGGTCAACTAGGACAATGACTTGGCTCTTGCCATGCCTACTCTTGACTTGGGTGTCCATGAAGTCTATGGACACTGAGTCTCCTGGCTGGTCAGGAATCGGTAAGGGTCTGAGAAGACCTAACGGCGGTCGCGTGCAACTCTTATTACGCTGGCAAACCTTACAACTGCGAACATACTCTACGCAGTCATTCTTCATCCCTGGCCAGGTATACGCGCGCATCAGATTGGCTAAGGTCTTTTGCCAACCAAAATGACCCTCTGTGTCATGGCACTCGCCCAAAATCAGACTACGAATCTCGCTATTGGGGATGCACAAACGGTCAAATACATTAGTCTTCTCAAAGAGCAGCCCTTCAGTAGTGCGGTAGTTCGGCTCAGTCTCTGGGGCCTCCTTGACCTTTTTAAAGAGTTCACTATAGATAGGGTCCTGCGCATAGGCCTCTCTAACCTTCTGTTGCAGGTCCTTCCCTATATCAAGATAGTGTACTATTGCMCCAAAGTAATCTGCYCTSCTACWCAGAGCATYCGCGACTACGTTGTACTTCCCTTTGACAGGCTTGAGCTCGAAGTCGTATTGATCTATCTCTGCGGCCCACCTAGTGAGCTTAGGTGTCATCTTGGCCTGCGTCTTTAGCCATCGTAACGTTTCATGGTCAGAATAGACTTTGAAGTGCCTCCCAAGCAAGTAGTGCTTCCAGTGGTCTAAGGCTTGTCTGAGAGCGTAGAGTTCCCTCTCATAGGTAGATGTCGCGACCTTCTCATAAGGCATTCTGGCGGACATGAACTCTACAGGTCTATATCCATTGCCATCGTCTTGCTGCAACATTGCGCCTATGCCGTATTGACTTGCATCGGTCGTGACGACAAAGGGCAAGGACGGGTCGACGACTTTAAGGACTGGATACTCTATCAATGCCTGCTTTAACTTCTTCATGGCAAACGTGCAGTCCTTATCCCACTTCCAGATGGTCTCCTTTCTCAGCAATCTGCGAAGGGGCGCAGCGATGGTGGAGAAGTTCCTCACGAACTTCCTATAGTAATTAGCTAGGCCCAGGAACGAGCGCAACTCTGTCAGCGTACGTGGCGTGGGCCAATCTCTAATCGCTGCGATCTTGCTATCTTCTGGCTTAACGCCGTCTTCGTCTAAGACGTGGCCTAGGTACARAACTTGGGTSTTTGCCCAATCRCACTTCTTTGCATTGATCTTGAAGTTAGCTTCCCTCAGCTTCTCCAAGACSTGCYTKAGATGACCCTGATGCTCTTCGAGGGTCCTACTAAACACTAAAATGTCATCTAGATAAACTACAACAAATTTGTCTAACCACGGCCTAAACAAATCGTTCATACAGCGTTGGAACGTAGCTGGCGCATTGGTTAGTCCAAAGGGCATCACTATGAACTCGTAGAGCCCATATCTAGTACGGAAGGCCGTCTTGTACTGATCGTCAGGATGCACCTCTATCTGATGATATCCGGACTTCAAATCTATCTTGGAGAAATACTTTGCCCCCTGCACTTGATCTAAAAGATCGTCTATCCTAGGCAGTGGCTCAGCATTCTTCACTGTAATAGCATTCAGACCCCTATAGTCTATACACATCCTTAGCTCTCCCTCTTTCTTAGGGACAAAGAGAACAGGGGCTCCAAAAGGAGACGAACTAGGCCTAATCCAACCCTTTTCAAGGAGCTCGTCCAACTGCTTCCGCAGCTCCTCTAACTCCCGCGGGGCCATCCTATACACAACACCCTTAGGAGTCCTACTGCCAGGCTCTATCTCAATACGGTGCTGGATGGGCCGCGGCACCGTGCCTGTCGGCGGCTCAGTCAAATCCTTAAACTCTTCCAGCAATTTGGCAATAGTAGGGTTTATGGGCTTTTCTTCCTTAGGCTCAGTGACGGGCCTAACATAGGCAACAAATACCTGTTCCTCTAATTTCTCCTTCTTCACCAATCTGGCGAACGCAGGGGTACTAAGGCAGCAATGTGCCAAGGAATTCTCTACTCCCGACACATGAAACAGGCGGGCAGTCTTAGCCTCGCCTGCAGAACTAGGGAGTCTTCACTCGTGCTCCTTCAGATGGAGCGTTGCCCCGGTTGCCTCTCCCCAATCCCTTCCCAACACTATATCAAACGGGAGGCTGTCCTGCACGAGGAGAGTCAGGGAGTGGAGGACCTTCTCCACCTTCCCATCTTTCTCTAGGCGGAAATACGCCTGGACTCCCTCTACATAATCCTCTACAACCATGGTACGATTGTCCATGAGGATACTAACTATGGGGTCTGTCAATTTTTGGACTTTAAGTCCCAGCCTCAACTTCTGCAGCGCTTTCTTACTAATATAGTTGCGGGTGGCCCCTGAGTCTACTAGGGCCCCTACTCTACTTCTAAAAATCTCTGCATCTAATAAAATCAGCTGCCCTTTATTCTCCTTCTTCATCTTGGCCCAGGCGGGCCTCCTCTCCGTCAACTCTTCGGCCACGCCTGTGAGGGAGGTGTCTAGCGAAACTCTAACACAAGCAGTTTCGGGACAGCTATCTAGACACCGGCCTGCAACCTCTGCCATAGGCACATGTGGTGTGGGAGTCTCCAGCTGGCTAGCACTATGTTCCCCACATGACCTAGTGGTAGGGGCAGTTGCTACCCCTACCGGCGGCTGCCTTTTGGCCCTTGGGCAGCCGTCCGGGTCTCTCGATACTTAGGACAGTATTTGATGATGTGGCCCGGGTCACCGCAAAAAATGCATTGGCCCCGGTCCAATCGTTGTTGCCATAAAGTCTGGTCCAGACCCAAAGATTCCCAAGGCCTGCCCTGCGGCAGCCCTGGGTGCCATCCTCCTACTCTATAGGGAGACCTATTCCTAGGACGGTTTTGCGGGGGACCTTGACCCCTTCCTCCCGCTTGGCGGTTTCCTCCCCTGCCGCCAACCCCCTAGCCGTCCTGAAACCGGCTCCCTGAGGCCCGGCCTCCTTGGCCTTGGCCTCGTCCTCTGCCTTGCGGCCTC